AGTGATTCGGCATCCAAAGCTCGCAGTGTTGCTGGTGTTGGGATTGCGCTAAATGCCAAGGCTGGATTACAGCCAGTAGCCGACTGTGCGTTGTACGTCTCAGCGGTCCACTACGGGTCAACAGCTACAGAAAAAAGCGTCGATACTTAGTCGGTCTATGCACCAATCAATCGCACCGCGCCTGAAATCAGGGATGAGTTCTACAAGCATCTNAAGCATCTTTCTCAACTAATCCAAAGTACTCGATCAACGGACATCGTAATAGTTGCCGGAGACTTCGATGCTCAAGTGGGATCTCTGGACGAAACATAGAGGCTTCTGAGATGTTTTCCGAGACAGGTGGTAGGTAGAAAAAAACCCAAGGTGGTCAAACTAAGACCTGGCATAAGGGTATAAAAAACCTGACCAGGAGACCTGGTCATACAAGTCGCGTTAGGTTCCCTGGACGGTCACCTCGGGATCAGTGTAATCAATGGTTGTAAACACTGAGTGATATTGTGATGGGAGGTAGTACAAAGAGAGCCCCGGCTAGCAAACGAATCTAGAATGGGGCCCATCCAACCAGACGCGCTGACGTAGCGGCTGGAAGTACTTCGCGAGACAATGTTGACTACCACCCGAAATGAGAGAATTGACAATTACAGCCCGACAGACAATCCGCAGTTAGCCAGAAAGATGTCCACCGAATACCACAACGTCGGGGCTGTCGATCAACGTATCTCGCGCCACGATCGGACCAAACCAGTCGGAATGGCACGCCAAAGAACAGGCGACGTACGTGTCAAGTGCGGACGAAAACCAACAGAAAGAGGCATGAATCATCCTGCCGCGCGGTTGAGAACTGAATGTGCATGTACACCGGTTGTTTTTAAATTGGATTAATAAACGTTTTTCAAGCCAACTCGCCTTCTCGCCACAATATGGCTGAGTGTCGTACACAGTGGTGCTCGTGCATCTAAATTTCTTTGCAACCTTAGTCTGTTGGAATTCTTTATTTTCTTTTCGACCTTACTTTCAGATTTCCAGTCATACTTCTACCTCTTCATCTATACGGGAGGCAAAGGACAGTAACTCAAGCAGCCGCACGAAAGTGCATGATGAATGGTTTTACAAACTGAAACTGAGACTAAATCACCCAGAAGACAATCTCAGGAGGACAATTTTTTCAGTAGTTTGTAGTCATCATGTCAGTACATCTAAGATCTGATGATAAAACATAGGGGTTGGCTGGGTAACATTCTAGTGTTATTCTCCCAACTCCTAGGATTTATCCTCACACACAAATTAGGAAGGCGTGATTATGAATTGTTCTCCTGAGATTGTCCTAAATGGAAGTGTAGACATTTTCCGAAAGACAATCGACCGTATAGCTCAGGGGTAAGGGTTTGAAGTCCAAATCCGAATGTTCGCGGTTCGAGTCCTGACAGGGACACAAGTACGCACTGCTGACGAATCCCAACCAGGACGAAAAAGCGGTCCAGTGCTCCTTGTCGGTTATCACAAACATTGCCGTCACATATAAAGGACAATTATTTGATTGAAATTTGGTGGCTCCGCATTTGTGTCACCTAAGATCAATCACGAGTTTTCCGGTACTTTTGTCGCTTAAAAAAGAAACAAGTTTTACAGCTTTAAGTAACTCTGTTGACCAAAATGCCTCGCAGAGCGTATCATATAGCTGATTTCTTTTAAAATAAATAACGTCAGCAACAGGAAGAATGCTTTTCTCAAGCGATCTGCGAGCAGTTGGAATTTGTTGTTAACCTTCCTCTGTTTCTCAAGTTTTGTTTACTCCAGAGTTTTGAAAATCGGAATGTATTTGGTTATCTCATTGTAAGTGTGTTTGCAGTGGCAAATATTTTCACTTTGTGATGTATCGATTTTCGGTCTGGTTCTTATGAGACAAACCAAAGGGTTACGTTCCAATTGCAAGCTGTCTGGGGTTTCTGCTTTTACTGCTTGTGTTATAACGCCACGAGGCGGTGCTCGGCCGAGAATAGTCGTTTATTGCTAATAACGGTTAGGGTATAGTCAAATTGTCATGCATACAAAAAATATCTGAGTTGGAATAGGTTTGCAGAATTACTGCACACACAAAGGATAGTTGATGGAACGGTCCGCCATCAGATGCCCATTCTTGTATTCAGCAGTTTGCTCCAACAGATCTCGTTCATTTTTGGTCGTTGAGATAAACCATTGATTGCATCTTTTTGCGTACTACTCACAAATGAGTACTATCTCACAACAGCGATGTGCACTTCCAGGTTGGACTTCATACTAGAATAACCAAGGAGCGACATCCCTCTTTTAATGAGAAATAATACCGTCTTTTTGATCTGTAATTCACATTGTCATTACACTGCTTTTTTGTTCTGTTTCTGTCTCAAACGTCGTGATTTTCGGCTATACGAATATCGTACTAACACTTGTATCCACACCCTTCCCTGTTTAGATTCGCTTGTTGCCTGTTCCCTGGTCAATAGAGCCTGGTTCCGGGCTGCCCGCAATCCCGAACTATATCGCCGGTTGTGCCAACTACCCGAGTGGGGTTCGCCCACTCTAGATCGTTCTCATCAGCCCCAGACCGGGGCACGACCAGTTGATGCAAATGAGCCTGCAGACTCCCGTTCTGTATTGACTTCAAACAGCGATTCGGTGACAGATCAAAACATGATCGATGTAAGTCTCTCTCTCTCGTCCTCTTTTCCACAGACTTTCTGTTGTTTTGTCCGTGATTCTCGTCCTTCAACTGTTACTTCGGCTTTTACTCATATCGACTTTTCGTCCTCTGGTTTGGAGTAACTGTCTCCGTATTTTACTGTTCTATCATAGTAGGATGCAGTATGTGCAATGCCACTCCGTATTCACAGAATCCTTTTGACTAGTTGTCATGTGGGGTCGCTCGGTTAAATTTCAGAACTCTTCTGTTTGGGCGTTATGCGGTTTGCCATTTCAATTCCTGATCACTTTGATTGATCACTTTCATTACCGAGCATTTGGTCTCACATATTCTCTGGCTTATCATACTACTAATTTATGTGCAGGAAAAATCACCGCAAATTGCATTGTTCTGTTGGACGGTTAAATTGTTTCGGTTTTGTGTATACTTGAATAGCAACTGCTCCGGTGCGCACACTCGCATCATTCGGCTTTGTGACTTCACGCATATCCTTTCTCTTTGTTCTAGCATAATAGTTATCTATACATATATGCCCGCGATTTGTCGAAGCCTTTTGATGCTATGCATAGTTGATCGTATCGGTCACCATTTATTCATTGTTTATTGCTTTTTGTCCGATACATTATTGCTGCCAGTGGTTTATATAAGCCATTGTGTTATTGCGGTTTGAACGTTACCTTATTGTTAACGTATGCTGGATAACAAACAAGGCTGTTATTGGTATAATCGAGTGTTATGAAAAATA